AAAAAAAAAAAAAAGAAAAAAGCTACTAGGGTGTGATATCATGCGCTCAATTTGAGTAATGCCGACAGGTGCTGGATAAAGCCGTTCTCATTGAAAAGAACACTCGCAAGAGGTATTCGTCTCCTGTTGTCAGTTGATGCATGCCGGTTTGAGTGGATATGGTGGTGTAGTAAAATTGTACAGAGACCTTGAATCAAGTGGTGGGTTCCGATTGTCCTCAACGACATATGGGAGTAAATAGTTTGCTATGGATGCGTATCTAACCCTTCTAATATTGTAGCATGTTTCAGTCACGCATAGGGGATGCAGGATGACTGGTTAGTTGCAACGTACATACGTACATAGCTATATGTCAACTTGAGTGAGAACAACATATTTTGGAGCAATTTCTTCAACAAAATACGATCGCTCTATCTAATTTCACAGTTTTACCGCTTGCTTGTATAGGAATGCAAGTCTAAGGCCTGATGGTTCGGCAAAACATCTTTACATATCAAGTTCCCTTTCGTATTAGTCTTGCTCCGAAATTAACAGCAGATCAAGCCATCGTTATTGAGCCAGTTATATGTCCCAACAACTAGGCATGCGACACTTTGGAATTTCACCGCACCGAAATTCTTGCGACGAAGCTGCTGCTTTGACCTTAATTCATATGTGGTTTGATTGATCTCTGCACTCAAGACTTTGTGTCTCCGATAGGGTGCTCAGATTATCCGGACAAGCGGACCTTTTATCCTGTACTTCAAACCTTCCACCTGGCCAGTCAGTCTCCTAACAAGACTCCCTCAATTGTAGCCATGTCTCTCCGTTCAGCCGCCTCCACGCAGGGTCGTATTTGGTAAAGGTCACTGGAAATGGCGGTCCATGGTCGTTTTTAACCGTCCGTTCAATGGTCTTTGGGATTGTGTATCTATTCCCAAGTTTTATCTGTATACGGAATGGAACCTTTCGAGAGTATCATAAAAGCGATTCTAACGTTCTGTGCCACATCAAACAACACACAGCATACCAAACGTCACGGACAAAATCTATAGAGGAACTCTGATTCGATTCTTTGATTCCAAGATAGTGAGCGATATTCACCATACTGGAAATGTACGTTTCAACCGAGGGATTCATGATTCACTTTCTATCACCTAGTTACTGTCAATAACGGCGTTGCCCCCTGTTCTGTAGCTGAAAAGACTGGAAATAGACATTTGTCAGATTGATCTGTGATGTGGACGGCGACTGGATGATCCCTCTTTCGAGGACTAGATTGTACCCAGGCAAGTATATAGCAAGCCCCTATCGTGTACACGATGCAATGCTTCTTTGAAGTCATGAAGAATCACAGAATACTTCAACAAAGCGTCCGACTTGCAGGTCGCCGTGATAGAGGGCTAATGCAAGGAAGGACGTAAGTAAGGAAAAAAGTTGCTTATGATTACCGACGGCTACCCCCTCCCGACCATAGTATGCCGTCCGCTGCCGTGAAGCGGATGTTTTTGTACTTCACTGAGATGCAGTGAACTGCCGATATGGGACCCAAGAGGCTGGACACGACAGCAATTTGTCAACGTTTGCCGTATCGTATGCGCCCCACTTATTGCTCGTCCTTTGGGAATATAACATCGTTCAATTTTTCATAGGTTTTGAATTTCTTGAAAGTACATCACCATAAAGTTCATTCAAATTTACAGACCATTGCAAACTGGGCTCTTTCAAATATTCTGGTCGCACCTGTTGAGTAAGTCACAGGACTGAGTCGAACTGAATTTGGCGGAAGCTTGGTCGTTTTGATGCGTCAATCAAACTAAAGAGGTGGCAATCTTCTGTTTCTTCCAGTCAAGACCCTACAGCTATCAACTAGCCAAAATGGCCAACCAGGTCCAGGGCCTTCCCAGTTGGCGCCTTTTGTCTCGCATCTCGGTCATACTCTTCACATTTTATGTTGTCATATCGCTTATCACTGTCAGTATTCGTGGTACGGAAGTTGGAGAGAACTTATTACCTACCAAGCCTTCACTTCAAGCAGCTCATTTTGCGGGGTCGAAAGAAATAGATCAACAGGATCTGTGGAATGAGGCTAAAGTCAAGTATAGCCATCTAGCTGATGACAAATTTACCATCGCTATGTTGACGTATCGACGCCCGAAAGAGTTGAATCATACTCTAGCAGTCCTACTCGAAGAAAAGATCCCGTCTCTTCACGAAATCGTCATAATATGGGGCGATATTCAAGCGGACATGCCCAAGAGCTTCAAATCGAAGCACAACGTCCCGGTACGGTTTAGAATGGCATTCAAGGACAGTCTTAATGAAAAACTCCGTCCAGATCCACAAATCGAGACGCAGGCAGTTCTCCTGACCGATGATGACGTATATTATCGCCCTAAAGACCTTGAGTTTGTCTTTCAGTCGTGGCGCAAGTTTGGGAGGTATCGCCTTACCGGCGCTCTCGCTCGATGCGCAGATGTTGATGCGAAAGGAACTTACAACTATAACTTCTGCTCAGGAAAGCAACGTGATAGTTACTCCATGATCCTTACCAATCTATGTTTCTCGCACATGTCCTTCCTGGACTATTACTGGTCTAACGACAGAACTATGGTCAAAGTTCGAGACTATGTGGACTTAGTCTTCAATTGCGAAGATATAGCACTAAATTACGTTCAAGGGCTCCTTACAGGACAAGGGCCCCTGCTAGTAAGGGGTCAAGAAAGCTATGTCAACCTCAACCCCCCGACAGGCATCAGTACAAAACCAGGTCACCTAGAAGCACGGAGCAGGTGTTTGAATGATTTCACAAAGTTGTTTAAGTGTATGCCACTAGTCAATGAAACAGCACGCATCCAAAGCGGGATCTAGGCGATACAGACGCGAAGAGGTTTAAATGATAGATATTCATTAGGGGGGTCAATCTAACTAACGACAAAGCTACCGGGGAGTAGAAGCGAAAGGATATAAAGAGTGGGAAAAGGCGAATAAAAACGTAGATGCTCGAGACGGCCCAGTAACTATTACCAGAACATAACCCTGGGCTGAAGACGACGGTGATTATTGAAGTGAGCATTTATATATGATACTTGCACTACCGGCAGAAATAAGGGAGCTTGGGAAATCGATGGAACTGGAGAGGTTGATAAAACAAAGGCCCACAATCCCATTGCAAAGTTGCTTCTCAGGATTTCGATTTCATCTGTAGTAACGATAGATTGTGTTCCTGGAAACAGGTCAACGTCGCACAAATAAGATAGCAAGACAAGACGTTCACTCTGGATAACCAAAAGTCCTGCAGAACGACTTTTTAAAACGTCCTGAGCCCCTGTAGGGTGTCTAAGAAGAGAACCACCCCTTGTTTCTTCCCAACAGTAAGTCGCTAGGCAGTCATCTTACGCTGCCTCGTGGGAAAAGGGAGAAAAGGAGAAAAGGGGAAGCGTGATTCCAGCTTTACCTGCAAGAACCGACCGTGGTGACCAGAAGATTTAGATTGCAAGAAAGACGAGAAGGTATACAAATAGTTCTACAAATCAATACGATGATGTTGTGACAATGATGACGATATGCCAGATATACCACTTAAATACATTTACATCATATCTAAAGTTTCATGTCCTTTCATAATGCACGCCTCACACTTTCTTGTAGTAGGACCGCAACGATACAGACCTTCTATGACATACCGCCGATATTCCTCCTCATAATTGTTTGCATACTTATAACAGGAATGGAGACTATCGTGTTTATAAAGGAAATGGGGATGCCGGTGGAACATAGCCCTCATGGTGCCTTTACAGTTTGGGAGGTGCAGGTCAATATGGCATATGCTCGACACCGACTCGTCCGATGCAAGGTTCTGTCCAAGCCCAGTTATGCCTTCTGTTGTTCTTATGGTGCTTTCTCCCCAAACAAGGTATGTTGATTGTCTCTTTCCACCGGCAACTACAGTTAATCGCTCAGGCCACCTCGTGTATATCCCATTTGCCAACGAGCCCGTCATAACACTGTTCGCATTCAAAGTGATGTTGTAGGATACAAAAGCATAATCATACTGCAAGAATCTATGGAAGTGCGTAGCATGTGGCTGTAGGCTTTCTTTGAATAAAGAGGAAGGGATACCCTGGCACAAGATGGCTACGTGAGCTCGCCGATGAAGAGGGGTCCCATCTCGAATGATGTCATTCAAGGCGCTTCCGACCAGGATAGGTGGTTTCCCGTCTTGGTACGCTTTCTCCAGCCACGCAAAGCTTTTGAAGAACAACCTCCATACAGCGAGTACCCCCCATTGTGGTCCAGTTGGTCGAGCTTGTGCCCATATGCCATGATTTCATGCTGCTTACCAAGACCGATGTACTTGGTATCCATAACGCTTGAAACTGTGTAGAAATTACTTTGGAAGAGACAATAGTATCACCAAAGTCTTTTTGTACTCAAAGTGTAAAGGTTGGAATTGGATCGGAGGCAATAGTCTGTGTGATTGCGTGGTGAACATCCATTCCAGGTTCATCTATCTAGGATCGAACACGCCGCGGGAGTGGAGTGACTATGTGCTCCCCTCTTCAACCCGAACAAATCAATCTGAGACCATACCGGGTCTAAAGTGAAAGCCCAGGCTGGTCGTTTAACGACCTTTCTGGTACAGCGTGGATGCATGTATACACGCTAAAGAGTCTCTACTATAACCTTCAATTTTGGACCTTGTCTTACCAACAAACAGAAACAAGCTTTGCATGTTAATTTCCAGAGCATACGATATCCGCCATAAGAAGCCTCGATTCGCAGACATCCCTGTCACATTGATACTTGAAAGTAGAAGAATAACTTCGAAGTACGAATGTGATCGTTGTACAATATACCTGCCATTCTCTGGACAAATCGATAGTGTGCTTTGAACTGTACTCAACCAACAACACATAATCTACTGTTTGCCTCTTGATCTACCCAGTTTTACAGTCTCGCAATGGCGTTTTCAATCGACGGAAAGGATTGTATGGTAGGCCTTCATCCTCGTCTTGTATTCCCCTTCGTTTTGCGGCACACACTTACGGACACATCCAGATCGCGGAGTGGATCCTGCTTACTATATCGTTTGTCTTCGTCACAATGCGTATCTACGTCCACTTTCGCCGCAGACGAGAACGTTTGAATTGGTCTGAGTACCTCCTGATCCTCGCGGCTCTCAGTGCTCTCGGATTGATCATCTGTGATACTTTGACTTATCAGATGGGCGTCATGGACTCGTACGAGACATCGGTAGAGTTATCCAAAGTGAACAAATCCTGACATCTGTATCTGCGCTTTTGACTGACATCTATGCTGAGATATCCTACGCATCAAATTACTTTTACGATGTAGGCATAGGGTTTCCCAAGTTGAGCATACTAGCTTTCTACTTGTCTTCCTTTCTACACTCTAGTTCCATGAGACCCGCCATGCGAAAAGGACTTCTCAGCGTCACTGCCTTCGTCTGCTTATCCTATGCGGTCATACTTTTGGATGATACATTCTTTTGCGGCAAGGACGTTTCTGTCCAATGGAACCAGCAGGAAGGTGCTTGCAGTGTCTTCTATGCACTCGAGCCATTCATTCTCAACTTTACGCTGGATTTAACATGCTATATTGCTAGTGGGTCACTGTCCCCTCCCAAGTCCCTCTGGCCGTTACAGATACTAAGCTCCCTGTATTTAGTCTACACTTTATCCTTGATTCTGATACTGAAGGGTCTGATTCGCTACTCGACTGTTGTCGGAATTACACTTGCGCTTGGCGCTTTAACTATAATTGTCATTGTAGTACGATTCATCACTCTCAAGGTCGGCACTGGGCAGGAGAATCTTGTTTGTCAGTAACTTCACTTTTTTGATATGAAGAGACATAAACTAATGCGCCGTTATCAGACCCTCTCAGCATGTTAGAAATGTCCCTTGCAATCACCGTTGCAGCTCTCCCTGGATTGAAGCCACTTCTGCGCTCAGAGTTTACAGAGGAAACAGTTGTTGACGTGGTCCGAACAGAACGAAAGTGTTGAGATGCGATTGATCAGGTCGTAGAAAGTTGTTGTAACTTCTACCTTTGGCCTCACAGGGCCCATTCGAAAACGGCTTGGTGAGAGCTTCCAACACGACGAATCGTTGACGAGAATACGCAGGACCAACGTGAAAGGGTAGACAAGTAACACAAAGTTTGTGTCTGGCGAGGGTGGCCATCTGGTCTATTAAGATTTCTGCCCTTCCAGCTTCATTTATGGCAACAGGTATTTGGCGTATGACCAGGTATAAACCACAAATACGATGCATCGGCTTCGTTGAACCATTAACAAATGCGACGACTGCGATACGAGAAGAGATGAATCGTTAAATATGTTGACAAGGTACCCTATTAAGTGGTCATACACCGTGACGTGGTGTTCCTTCCTGGAACTCGATCGCTGGACTACAAAAGACTTGGTGATTGATAAGCGGCCAGTTTCCTGCCGCACATTGTTACTATGGCAGTCTTACGAGTTGGATCGCAGTGCATTTCACCTCCGCAATCTTCGAAGTAAGCAAATTGATACACTAGAAGTAAGCGTGCCCCACCTGACCCACATGGAATGTTCAGGTGTCTTTCCGATCTTGCCTTCTTTTTTTCGGCCTAAAGAGACTTTCCTGGAGGTGCTTGTAACATCGACTTCGACAGTACCGTTGTTGTTGCCAAGATGATGAGGGATAAAGTGGTTACACCAAAGGTACCCGACACCTTCCACCAAATTATATCGTAACCCTGCGCAGTCATAAGTATTGACCTTCAGTCGGATCTTCAGACAGGCCAACGACTCACCACTCACCATGAGCCAAGCTTTACGTATACACCGTCTCTGGTATTGGATAGAACACTCGTTTCACCAACTGTTAGTAAGGCTTCACTATTGGAACAAGCCCAAACCGCGCTATCTAGTATGAATAGAGCTGCTACTTTTGCTTCTCTCGGCAATACGCAACATAAACCTAGTATAGGCTTAGATTATCTCTTGGCAACCGGACCGTTACAAGCATTGTATCAATGATGGAGAGTTGACAAGAGAAATTTAGTTGGCAGTCTTACATGATATACAACGGCGAAGTTTGTGGGACATCCTGGCAATGGACTTGGCCTTATTTTGCTGTGAAGTAATCCACTTGCTGTTGGAAAACAGTGAAAAGCTTTCTGTGAGATCAGCGCATACTCAATGTGATTACTTTGTGCACCTTTGCGCTAGAGACATGGGCGCTCGTGGATGGTCCTCGTAGGAAATTATTAATTTGTCAAGTAAATCGTGACTTCATGACAACTGTACTCTACCTGGCACCATTTGGTTTCGAAAAAGACTTTCTTAGGGCTATTGGGTCCTGTTATATATGTCCCCCATTTAAAAACTCAAAATAGGGTAAGAGGATCATAAGATGTAAAAGTCTATACCATGAGTGGATGTTCAATATCACTATATGTTTCTAGTACTTTTTGTGATGTGAAACCCTTCTGACGGTACATGGATGCGTGGTCCTGTAAGTTTTCCTACAAAGGTGCATATGCAGAGTGTCCACCAGCATAAAGACTAGCTTTAAAAAAGGCACCGCAATCCACGATGATGCATAGCACGGTCATGTATTGAAAAACGAATGGTTGAGCCCCACTATGGCCCATTGACCTTCAGATACACTCTTTATAGTTTCCTTCGTCTCAACGGACCCTAGTGATAGACTTATTAGCATCATCGTGGTCATTTCATTGTAGCCCAGAACATACCTTCCGCTCCTTCAATTAGGAAACAGCATTCTATGCAGGTCCTGGTGAGATATTGACCAACAATATTGGTAGGGCCCGTAGTGCAAAGTTTGGAGGTCTCCCATGCTAGATCACAAACACCAACTCCAAAACGAATGTCTTCGTTGCACTCGTTGCAGCGGCAGTCTTCAAACTTGGTGATTTTACACATAATCACACGTCTGGAGTGGAGTATGGTTAGCGTTAGAAATGCGTGATAGTATGTAGGGAAACTGCACATGAAGAGGTATTTGTTTCTGTAATATACGGAGGGTCTTAAGACACTTGGCCATGTATAGCGAAGAAGCGAGGAGAATGCTGACCAGCACGTCTCCTCTTTCCTAGACGTGGAGTAAGGCTCTATTTATGAACGTACACAGAATCACGTTCTGCTATGAATGCATATTGGGACCTCAAAACAAGGATGGGGATACATTCGCAGTGGGGACATTGTATCTTTAAGATTAAGATGACGACGTAGACCGCAGGGGCCTAACACAACGTCTCCGTGTTTAGTCCAATGCTGCAGGCATTAGTTACTTGGTGCTGTCTCCGCATAAATGTAGGAGTTAAGCCCTAAAGAAGAAGGAAAAATAAAAAATAAAAAGAAAAGGAAACAAGTAAACACCGGACTACTCCCCAAGAGAAATTATGATATCCTACGGTATTACCCATGTGCTGCCGCCCACCCTACGATATAACAAAAGCTCGCCGACAGGATTTCTGCTTATTTCTAGTTGGTAGCTATGGGAGGCATCTCACAGTCCAGAGGCGTTGCATCGTGTTGCGCAGACTTAACACAGCACGGAATCTGAGCACAACCCATTTGTGCCAGGGTGTGAGCTGACTTTTACCAACCATTACCCATCTCCCGAAGACTAGACTAAAAACTAGTAACATCCTATTCACATAAGTGTTTGTGGATTCCTTACAGTACTGTATCATAAAGCCTTAATCGAGATATCTGTCTGTGATACCGGCCTCCCAGTTACCTCTGCTGCCGATCTATGGTCTTTATTTGGTCTCGATAAGGTGTACCGTGCCTAGTTAGTCTGCATCGAAAATCCAGCATCATCCTGTATAGAGGCCCTTAAACACTACCACATCGGGAAATGATTCTACAGTCAGATCAGGCAAGGAACAGTAACGGAGAGCCTATTTTGGCCGTGACTGTATGCGACTGACTGAAGGGTGATAGCGGCCACGAGGCCAACAGTCCTAGTAACATGCAGTCTTTTGTAACATTAGAACAAAAGAGAAAGTAGCTTGCATGCGAGTTGGAAAGAAACTCAGCACTGGCAATTAACATGGATCTCCATCAAAGGAAAAGATTTGTCCTTTGGTCCATTCATAAGGACGCCTTTCCAGAGGCCACCACGCCTCTGTCACTTGTTACACGATACATTCTCGCCTGCATCCTCTTAGCCATCCAGTTGGCTCTTATGGTTGGTGTACCAATCATTCCGAGCCTTCTAGCATGGTTTACGAGAACCCAGCTCTGGTCGCCCCTAATCGATGCGGGAAAGATAGTACAGGCAAAGGAGGTTCTAGTATACCTGGCTCTTCTCACGGTCCTCCTTGTTTTCTCTATCTGGGGTATAATACCTCTGTATGCAATAGCCAGGGTCCACGGTAAGCGGGCCCGGGCCTTCGCATATGTGTCGTTCGGCGGTGCACTGGTAGTTTTTCTAGGCGTATCAGTGCGCTCGCTTTATTTGGCAATGAGTTGGGCACTACACTTTGACGACGATGCAAGAATTGCGTATCGGTGTAATCTTGTCGCCCGTGTCCTTGGTGCTCTACTCTGCTCGTGGTGGATCTCTATTGTCCTCCTATTCTTCTACACGACTAGATTTGGTATGCCGGTGTTTATACAGCAATGGATGGACAACGTTACAAACCTACTTTATCCTGACCTTGCGATAGAACAAAAGACGAGTGGCAAGGCCGATGACGCTTGAATGTAAGCATGTTTAGTGGCAAGTAAGGAAGGCGGCGAAGAGAGAGCGGGGAAGAAATGGCGGGAAGGTCTTCGAAGTGACAGTGTCCAGGCGTTACACGGAGGTCAAATGAAGTCGTCGTAAAAAGAGAAAAGAGGAACGGGATGCAAAAGCCATGGGAGGGTGAGGGTTGAGAGACGATATGGTGGACGGTCCTGACAAGAGAGTCTATGCAACCTGGATAGTAGATATGAAGCTCAAGTGTACTGTCCCGATTCCCCTTGATTGGTAAACTCTGCTTGGCGTGCAGCAAGCTACCTTCTATACCTTCTTGACTTCTCTCAAATGCTTCGTAACACTCCTTTCTATTTGCTCTTGTATCTAGTACTGTCTTCTTATATTTCCTGTTGCGGTAACCCTAATCCCTACTTTGCTCCCTTTTCCTGATATTCGACTCCCTGGTACGCGAGACTTTAGGCAAAGCAGAGGCACTATGGAGGAAATCAGCTTAGATTGTATAAGTCAACCCTATTCTAATACGCATCAAGCTGCGCTCGACGCCCATAAACAAGGTCTTTCCGTTGCGAGGAGTATCCACCTTAACGGATAGCCCGGCACGGGGCGAGTTTCCATGACGATCTGCTTCCTTTGATTTTTCATGGATGCTGTGTTAACAAACTCAAGTTACTACATATAAGGCCCATTTGCCCCCATCGAAAGAAAGTCTATGTTGCATACATCAACGGATATCAAGACTGGAAAGTCAATCTTGACATCGACATTTTGTGGTAAAAGAGTTCACTGTCTGGTCACGAGATGAACGACTCCATGAAGCAGCATTTGATACCGCGACTAGAGTTTGACAGTATTGAAAGGATCTTCGCCTATCTAGAATGGTGCGTCCCTAGTGAATTCTCGTTTGAGAAAAGTTATGATCCATGTAGATTTAAGAAAGTACATGATCGCGCTATTGCCGTTGCAGGCATTTATCGTGCTAGTCCAAAATTTGACTTGAACGTGTAATCGTTTCTATTCAGTAGCTATAAATAGCAAGGCCGGTCAGGCGTATTACCCCGAGAATGATTGTGTCATTTGTCAGTCCATCACCTGTCTCGGCTCAACCATTATGAAAAGTTCCAACTTCAGTGCATTACCCACTGAACTTAAGCAGCTAATTGCACAATACACTGACCGTCGTAAATTTGCCCGTAGCATGCGCTTTCCGCTTCCAAACACCTTTGCGTCGACAGACGAGATTTGGAAGTTGTTTTTCAGTTCATTTGCCTGGTTAGACGATGCGTACAGC